CAAAGTTGCGCTCCAAGAAGATTATTGATACTGTTTCTTCTCGGGTAGCAGCGCTGCTGCTCTTTATAAACTACCATGATATGTGCAAACGACCAATGAACTTTTGTCCCCGGCCGCCAAAAAAGGGGGAAGACAAAGAGACATATGTTCTGAACTGCATCGTTGAAAGCATCCCCGACTATTTTAAACAAGGCCTCCCACTGGACAAATGTCGCGACAGGGTCAGCAACGTGATACAATATGGAAGATGGTGGTGGAGACTCTCGCATTGGTTTGGGGTCAATATCTTGTTGCTTGGAGACGACGAATTGTTTCAAATGATGTAAGTCAAACAAGGCTAAATCAATTCAGTTTGTTAATATCTCATCAGGAAGAATGAAATGTTCACAAACAATCAAATTGATGCTCTTATTACCTATGCCTTGCGCGGACGGCCAGAGACAGTCAAACTTTTTCGATTATCAGATCCTTTTATGAAAGAATTAATCCGGGGGACAGTCAGTCAAGAATTAAAAGACGCTTTTTATCCCGATGGTTTTCGTCTTTTTATGGAAACCATTCTGCAACGTGCTCATGATGAGGATACAACATTGGTCTAGGAAAATCTCAGGATGTCTTGAACAAATGTTGTGTCAGACAATAAAAATCTCGAGAATAGTTTATTCGCGATTTTAGACATCGCTGACGCATTACAGCCCAATATATATTGTAATTCACTGCTTTGGTAAGATTGTTCTTATATCTATTTTTTGATCAGTGATTTCAGTGTCTAAGATGGGCTTTTTTCGTCAGTGTTAGCCTAGTTATAGTCTACGAGATAGTTTTTATATGCAGTATAGCTTATCTACAAATATGAAATTTGATCCTATACTTTGAGAAACCATTTCTTTATCTCAGTTTAGAACGAATATGTGCTGAAGAGACCATGCCCAAGATAACCCGGATTACACTGAGGCCATAAAATATTCTCTACGCTGAGAACGCCTTCAGCGAAGGCGCTAGAGCACTTTAGCTCTCAGCCCTCAGCCTAACACCTGAGAGCAGGCTGAAAGCAAAGGCCTGTTCCGTCGGCCAATTAGCGACTGCAACTGCGGTCCAGACATATAAAACATTAGCCGGAAACCTGGACGGACAGATCACAGTCAATATCTTGCCCTCAGCGGGCCAAGTCGATTAGGAGTGTATGAAATATATAAGCGAGACCTGCTGCCTCTTTAAATGCCATTGAATTTTGTTAGATCTATTTTTATGACTATCTTATCTACCTTTGTCTTTTTATGTATTCATGTGGAGCACAAGTGTTTTGAATATCTACAGAGTTGTCGCTGGCGGCATTCTTGTAGCATTGTGCATGACTAAGGCGACTAGTTTAATGGCACGATGGACAAACTTGACAGATTCTCTGATTATCTAGCATTTGACTTTTCCTTACATTGTCTGTCGGCACCAGCTTTTTGGTCCATAGAGCCGAGGTAGCGTTCTTTTTCATTTGTCTTATATCATAGTCAATATCTTTCTGATCTTTTTTGGGGATTCCTCATTGACCGGCGCTGGTCGTCGGACTAAGGTCTTGGCCTTGATCAATCTGACGTTTCTTCTTTTTGTCATGCATCTTAGTTTCTTGGCTGATTGTCTGGAAATCATCTTCAGAAATTGCAAGAGAATCCATCGTGTTGTTGGTTGGATGGTGATTGTACTTCAAATTTTTCATATTATGATGGCGACCCTGGTTTCGAGAATGGATTTTCCGGTCTATGAGTCGGAAAATTTTGCCGTGATTCTTGTATGCTTCTTAACGCGATGCAGCTGATTCGTCGCTGATTTTTTATAGGGCGCTGTTTCTTTAGGGATCTTGGTCATATTATCATTTTCATTGTTTCGCAGACGGGTTTACGAGGCATTTTTTCGGACACATCAGGCTCTTGTCGGGGTATATGTTTATGGCGTTCTGAGACATCTTTCTAGGGGAAGCCACTCGTCGAGATCATGCATTTATATCGGCCTCGAGATTCTGAGATTGATCTTGGTGTTGCAGTTAATAATATTTCTTCATCGAAATGGTCTGTTTGCTGGTCGTGGTCTTCCCAGAGCGATAGTATCCTATCATTAGGGAGAAAAAGCAGGAAACGACCATGGTAGCATAAAAGGCGCAGTCATCAAAATACGGATCGTTTTTTTTCAATCAGTCAAAATGAGAGCTGGTCAGTATATAAATCTCTAGATGCCGACGGTAAGTCTCTGGTCGTGGACACAAACGCATTTTTTCACTGTCATGTCTTGATCACGAGAGAAACAAGATTCTTTGGATCTGTTTGTATAGTTATGTCAAGGTTTTTCTGTCAATCTACTTCAATATGTGCGCCCAATCACCGAAGACTTCGTTTTTTTTTTGGCGCTTTTCACAAGATCTCACGGGTGTTGCGAGTCTGTCAATGATTACGAAAACGCCTTTGTCGTTGCGAGTGGATTTGGAATTGTTACGACGATTCCATACATGAAGCAAATGATCTATGAGTACAATATTTGCACATTCTAAATTCGTCGACTGCACCTGGTTTGGCAGATTGAATCAATGGGTCAGTTGGCTTCCCGATTCCGGTGAGCGAGACTGATTTGATGACAGACATCGCAATTATAGTCCAGAAACTATTGAATAGTATGTTGGCGGACGATGTTATGAATGATAGATATGTAAGTTGTATAAATTATCAATCTGTTGCAGAATTAATAATGGATCAGATACTCAATATTTCCATATATATGAACAAAGGCCAGCTCGCGCAAAGTAGGTTGCCATTTGGTGAGCACAAGAGAGCCTTTTTTTACCAGGGCACTCTAGATTATCGACATATAATTTCCCAAGAAACGTCTGGCGATCTGGTGGAGAGACTGCCCAATGTCCGCGACGAGTCAGACAAGACATTAGTAATGGATACGGTGACACCGCTCCCAAAAGATGCCTGCTAACACAATTCTTACAGTTTCTGCGACGGATAACATACGAGACCACATATGGGAAGTGACGCGAGACTATTTCCATCAGCGTGTGAACTTTCTAGAACTAGAATATCAGTTATCCTGATTTCCTGGGTGTTAAACCAAAATACGGCTTCCGACTAAACCCCCATGTCCGACGTTACAGAGTTTTTGTGGATCGGCTGCAAATCTATCGGGGATCATAATCTTCCAGTATTGTTGGAAGACGAGATGATCTAGTGAGTGCACAGCTGCGTAAATTACAGCTGGCCCGCTCATGGCCAGAAAGGGTCTTGGCAAAATATAATACACGGCGCCTTGGTAAAGGTACCGAGAATGGAGAAATCGGAATCAAGCTTGGCTAGCCACTTTCTGCCTTGACTAGGAATTTTTAACAGCCGGTTTTGTAATTATGCTTGCTATGTATTTTTGGTGTCCAGGAAGAGGCCCACTTAGTTGTAAGATTGCCTGGGTCATATCCGTGGCCTTCGGGATCCTGCGGACCACCCACCGCCGAAAGGCGGTGGGTGGTCCGCAGGATCCCGAAGGCCACGGATATCTAGTAAAAGGGTGTAATTTAAGCGATCAGTATGACCCGCATAGTGGCCAGCAGTTCGAGATCAACGTTTGATAAAATTACGGAAGAACGTAGTTGATTTGATTCCTGCAATGAGTTAGGAATAGTAATTGGAGCGACACCGTTTCTGTCCGCAACTGATCTGTTCAACAATTCCCCTGTTCAACAATTCCGTCCATGAGCAACTTGAACACCTCTTTCGTATATCCTCACCTTTTACCGGACCTTCTCATGATGGGCTTATTTTTCTGGCTCCTAGGCTACTATAAAGAAACCCAGATCCCGACATTCTCCATGGAGAAAGCACAAGCTGTCCGCAATAATCCAGTATCGCCTTATTCTTTGATTTATGATCGTCCATGTTCTCTAATAGGGTAGTCCCAAGCTAACACCTCTTCCACTATTTATGTTCTTGCTTGGCATTATCTGATCAAATTTGTGATGTCTCACTTTACAATACACACTAAGGTGTGTTTCGGATCTCCTGGTTATGGGGTGATACAAGTTAACTGTCATAGACGAGTAATCAGGGATTCAATCTTCTTCTTTTAACAGATGACGAATTTGAAAACATGAGTTTATGTCACCCCATGGAGAATCGAAGCTCAATCGTCATAATTTATCGGAAGCTTTATCAAGCACCTAGTTATAGCGACCTTACTGCACCCTGACCAAGTTGCCGTTTTACTTTATAGAATCAGTTTGGTTGGCATCATTCAGGTATGGATGCTGTACCAAGAAGATCAGCTTATCGGGACCAGCCACCCGCAGTTCCAAAATAAAATTAATTCTGGCCGAGGTTTTCCAATCAGCTAACATAACTTCTCAAGTCAGCGATATAAATGGCGTGCCGTTCGCCGTTTACATAGGCACGAGTGAAAGCATAAATTGCAATACAGATAGTCCTGTAGTGGACTTGCTACAACTAAATATCGAAATCCCAAATGATCAAATTCTTCGTCAGAGTGTAATAAATAATGAGCCGTCTCATTTATTCATGCCCGCCGATTCTCCTCGAAAGAGGCGACGAAGAACAAATTCTGTTTTAACGCATCTGAATTGCGAGTGTTCTGCGACTTTTCTGATATTGTTTGGGGAGATGGAAAATCTTAAGGGATTCCCGGCAACAAACAAAAAAGATAGCATCCTTGAATTGAGTGCACGATTGGTTTGCAAAAATGCCAGCGAGATGTTAAGATCACTATTCGAATTGTGGCAGCAAAACGTGAAACGGGGCCTGCACGCGCTAGAGCTGTCATTTGAATGGAAAGATGGCAAAGCAGCAGTCAAATATTTCCGTCTGATCCAAAATGAAGATATTACCGATTCGGTCGCCCAATGCGTCGCAAGGATGTTGTTAGTCTTAAACTATGGGAAGATTTGTGAATCTCCCGAAAATTATGTCATACAGTCTACACGCCAGGAAGAGAGAAAAGTGTCACATGCGATGGATTGCATCATTCGTGCCTACTTGAACAAGCCTTATGAGGAGATTTCAAAAGCAGAACGAGACGCCATTCATAACGTCCTAAAACAAGGCCGACAGTTATGGACCCTTGCCGGTGCGAACGGTATGGAAATTGTGCTCACATGTGATGACCTCTTGATGTCTAAGATGTATGCCCCTTGCTTGCAGCTTTCACTGATTCCTAGCTGACCTGAATCTCTAGTAAAAATAACACCATTCATAATACAAGAATCAATGCTCTTGCGAGACAGGGTATTTACCGCTCCGAAACCGTAAAATTGCTCCATTCGTTGACCTCCGAGGTCACATCCCTGATGTTTGGGCAAATTCACGTGGGCCTGGCAGCAGCAATTCACCCATCCGGAAGCGGCGTTCTAGGGTCGGCTGCACTATCGGATATTTTTAAAAAGGATGAAGCTACCTTAACTCATCAAGAAATGACCGAAGATTGGCAGCTTATTGATTTGAAGAGTCTCGCATCCAAGAAAAAGGCAGAGACTCTCGTTAATGAACCTGAGACAAGATCTGCAGATCCTATTCAAGGCTTCGACACATTCGCTGCCTTTCCGTTGGACCGAAATGATCCAGGTGATGGCGGCATGGCCACACCCCCATTTGACGATATTCATCTTGGAGAAAGCACTGACATTCCTACGTGGGAAAGCCTTCTCAACAATGAGGATTTGGGTCTTTTCTCTATGAATAGTCTGCAGCTCGGGGAGCAGTCATGAAAAAAGACCCCGACTTCATTTGCCCTTATCTAGGCTGCTCGCCGCTACAGCTTTGAATTGTGTTATATTCCCTTGAGCCTGATAGGCTAGACAGGATTTGTTTGTCTTTACCCTACGCCATTGCTGTCTAAATTGACCGACACCATATTTTGTTTTCTCTCTGACCTGTTTGTTTTGGCTCCAACGCGGTCTACTTTGCCCTAAATTACATTACATGTTCATGAAACACCAAGTATATACTATCTTAGTCAAACTCGTTGTGGCTCTGAAACTTGGGTCTTATTGTATCTGCTAAGGAGGTGGTATGACTGGACAAGGTGTCTGGGGGATTATCATGGGACTATACAAGTCCCTCTAGGCACTAGGAAGGAGGGGATAGGATAAGGTTATACATACATTCCCCACGACACCCGGGCGTTTCTTTTAAAAAGAGATATAAAAAGAGAAGTAATGTAGTAGCAGTCTTATTTTTACATTGGACGGATCACCGACTGCCGGGTCAAGGATTAGTGGTTCAAGCTATATATCACCCTGTCACTTCGCCCCCAGTAAAGGCAGCCTGAAGAGCATTCCCATAGCACCCGCCCTGTGTATTGATATCGGCGCCTTGCTCCAGCAACAGTTGTGCAATCTCCGTGTGGCCGTTACCAGAAGCAGCCTGAAGAGCATTCCCATAGCGCCCGCCCTGTGTATTGACATCGGCGCCTTGCTCCAGCAACAGCTGCACAATCTCCGTGTGGCCGTTACCAGAAGCAGCCTGAAGAGCATTCCCATAGTCCCCGCCATGTGAATTGACATCGGCGCCTCGCTCCAGTAATAGCTGAGCAATCTCTAGGTGGCCGTATACGGAACCAGCCTGGAGAGCATTCCCATAGAGTCCGCCCTGTGCATTGACATCGGCGCCTCGCTCCAGTAATAGCCGCACAATCTCTGTTTGGCCGTTTCTAGAAGCAGCCTGTAGAGCATCCCCATAGAGTCCGCCTTGTATATTGACATCGGCACCTTGATCCAGTAATAGCTGCGCAGTCTCTATGTGGCCGTCTATAGAGGCGGCCTGGAGAGCATTCCTATAGAATCCGCCTTGTACATTGACATCGGCACCTTGCTTCAGTAATAGCTGCGCAGTCTCTATGTGGCCGTTTCTAGAAGCAGCCTGGAGAGCATTCCCATAGTCCCCGCCCTGTGCATTGACATCGGCGCCTCGCTCCAGTAATAGCCGCACAATCTCTGTTTGGCCGTTTCTAGAAGCAGCCTGTAGAGCATTCCTATAGCGTCCGCCCTGTGCATTGACATCGGCACCTTTTTTCAATAGCTGTGCTACCGTATATTGGAGACCGGCTAACGATCCGTAGTATATTGGAGTTGCCATCATTCCATAATCCTGCATGTTTCCATCCCAAGGCCGATCCGGGTCAAAAAGTTTGCGCCATACCGCATACGCTTGTCTCCATAGGAGGAAGAAATTCAAGATACTTTCTTGAGCGTCCTCCTCAGTCTCAGCTGGTCCCGCATGCTGCATCCAACACCGAGCGGCGTATAGCGCGAGCGGAAAATCCAATTTGATTTCCCTGATTGGGCGCTGCTCATCCATATATGACAAGTATGCCAGGCAAATCCTAGTAATTGATCCTCGCGCAACGCTTTCCTTGAGGCTGTCTTGAAATATACCACCCACTTCGGTTATTCTCTTTGGAAAAGCCTCTGCAATTCGTTTGGATTTCAGGTATTGCTGTACCGAGAAATGCGCTAATTGAATCTCCATTATTGCCTCTCCTGTGTTACTTCCCACCTCTCGGATTACGAGAGACACCAGACTGGAACAAATCTTCAGAATTTCTCTCGGTTCTGGCATTCGTAGCTTGGGATCAAAAGAGGGACTTCCGTCGGTATCAACAACTATGACATCAACAGCTTCTTGGATTGTGAGGGGTCGTTCTGAATAAGTAAGAAATTGCAAAATCCTTATCGCGTACTGCTGGTAATTCTCGCTAATATTGGCCAGGATTCGAGCATATGTCTCTTCTAGTGTCTTAGGTAGAGATCGAAGCGATTCCCGAAGCATCCGAAGATCTAGACAGTCCTGCAGAATATCAAGCTGGCATGCGACCCACCTGAACCTGTACAGATTTTCAAAGCTGATCAGCAATAAAACATCTAGGGCACGGATACAGTAACGCATCTTACATTCCATCTGCTTTATCTATAAGTCCAGTCTCGATTTCGTCTTGCACAGATGGCTCTGAATGCCACCGTGCAAAACCACGATCATTTCGAACACGCCTGTTGACATACAGGCGAATATCGCGGTTCACAGGAGCTTGTTGAATGGGAACAATGTTCCTCAGATGCAGCCACCGTTTCAATTCCGATTCAATATCTTCTTCTTTCCGACTAGTGACGAGGAGGTGGAACCCTGTATGTTGCGGGCGTGCAAGGCTCTCCATCCACGAGAGTAAATCTCTCCTTGTTTTACATTCGTCCAGAGCATCTATGACAACTTGGACCTTTTGAACATATTTTATCATTTTCATAAATGCGGTAGAGAGAGATTCATACGTGGGTTGTCGTCGGCCATCATCGCAGGATGAAAAAAGCTTGTTAAGCTCATTCCGAGAATTCGCACATCTCGAATACAGTTGCGCAACAAGTGAGCGGACAAGTTTGTCAAGTGATTGCTTATCCGCATCAGTGAAGTCAAAGAAGAAATCAAGGACAGCATGGGAGGAATCAACTTGCTGAGTGAGATGCTCAATGATTGTTGCGCTGAGTACAGTCTTTCCACACCCCGGAATCCCATGTAGCCAGAGGTGTTGGTATTTTCCAGACTTCCATTGCTTAAATGGTTCGCTTTCAAGGAACCAGGAGCCTGTTCCTTCGTGGCGTTTCTTTTGCGCTTCGTTCAGGTTGGTTGAGGTATCGGGAGGACAGAGCCATTTTTTGATCCTGCCAGATTGGTTATCTAGGTTTAGGCTTTCAACAACAGCCCTCGTTCCTGTTGTAATAGAATGGAGATCGGCGACCTTTTCTGAGACTTTAATAGCAGTTATTGGGCAAGCCCTTTAAGAAGGGGTTAAAGAGAGACTAACTATCCTCGAGAATCTCAATAGCCTTTCGTGTTGTCTGCAGGTCCTGGCTAGGAACAAAAGCCAGAAGCTCCTTCGTATATGCAGCCGCTGTTGCAGCAGCATATCGCTGCCATCGATCGCTCTTGTGTGAGTCCGCATAATCACATATTCCTCTTATCACAATACACGGGAAATTATTCATCAGGCCCGCGGCTTCCATTTCACAGCAGATACATTCATCCCCAATATCCTCCAGAATTTTGTCTCTGTAAGTAGCATCCTTGAGAAGGGTGTTACCAGAAGCGATAATACCATAATGGATTTCAGGGTCTGGCGACTGACGGAGCTCACGTTGGATTTCTTCATCAGGGTCCGAGGTCTTGTATAATCGATCATTTTCAAACCCCTGGTGCACATAGCCCTGCTTGGCTAGTCTGGGATAGCGGACCATCGCTTCTTCGAGATACTCGAGCAGTTTTGGTGGCTCGAGTTCATGCTCCGCCTGTATGTTCGCTATTGCATGAAGAAGAACCTCAGGCGGACTGTTGAGAAAAGCTACGCCTTCCCGCCGATTTTCAGGCTTCGCTTTGAATAGATCGTACTGAATGACGCCACCACTATTTCCACGAGGTTGACTGACGGCGACATCACCAAGGCGAATGTCGCGGCCTTTATCAGGCCTTGATATGCCGGCTCCGATCCCTACAAGAAGACCGATTCTTATCTGCGGAAAGGAGGCAAGCATAGGTATTGCAGTCGCCGCGGCGGATGTCGTGCCGTATTTCCCGGCCGCAAGTGAAGCTATGACCACGTTATGCTCACCAATGCAGCCCCAGGTATATGAATTTGGGTCATTATGAGGTTGGACAAAATCATGTGGTTTTCCGTGTTTCTCATCCAGTAATGCTACTGCTGCTGCACGCTCCAGCGGAAGAGCGGCGATCCACCCCACGGCATATAGATCGCGAGACTCTAAAGCCTTAAGTGGAGGCATGACTGATGACAAAATACGAGATTATGCCTCAAAATTTGCGTGCTGCTGTCCGATGATCCAGGATACAAAGCGTATCTGAATAAATGATGGGTAGACTCACCGATATTTTTCTGCCGGCGAGAATTCAGTCAACCCCGCTCTCCTGGAGAAAGATAGTCGTGTAGCTGAAATATCCCTGCCAGACTAGCCAATGAGGCTTCTCTTACACGTGGCCTGAAGCCATTTGCTGGTCAATAATAGGATACATCTTGAATTTTCTCACGAGCAGACCATTCGAGTTACGTATTTTTACAATGAATGTGTGTTTAGAGGTCAGACGGATTTCGAGATCGAGTAGACTATCTTGGTCAAACCCTGGATATTAAAAACGAGTCCTAGGCCTGTATACCTAATAGTAACCACTAGCACAATTTCCACGAAAGCTCAGTTGGCCAAGTTGCGGCCGAGAGAGAAAAAGCATTGTTAATCCTTCTTAGTCATGCGCAGATTGGGCTAGAAGGTTACACTTCGGCCTCGTCGGTCTAGTGTTCAGCCGACCAGCTCCTGGTGAGCTAGCCAGACTAAGTTAGTGTTACTTGCCTGCCAGGTCCTGGTGGATGTGACCTTCCCAGCAGGAGGAACTGTCCGATAGTGGCCCAGGAAACTCGTTAATGTCGTGTCTTATAGCAAGGATGGTTCGTCGCCTGATGCCCAAAACCAAGACACTACCGTACCTGATCACCTGACGAACATCCCCACCTGACGAACGTTTTTCAACTCCGCGTCCACGTAGGAATTGAAGTCGTACAGCCACTTATGTTTCGAATTATATAGAACGTTTTGAGCGGAGCGAAATATATATGAAATTGAAGCTATATACTTTTTTTTTAATCGCGAAAGCGCTGTGGGAGACGTATTTGCTTGTTTTGGCGGTTGAGCGTTGGAGGAGCCTGTTCAATGACCTTAGCGCCTACAGGAGTGATATTATTTGAATTTTTTGCCCGCGGAGTGTTAAGAGGCTTACTTTTGCTTTGTTGAATCGAATTGAAGCCATTTTGAAGTTGTATGTCAGCCTGTTTAGCGAGCTGATCATTTTGTTTTTTACGTTTCTTTTTTTCCGTCTCACGAAGTCGAATTTCTTTATTTGAAATGCGAATTCGCTTGTGCTCTTCAATTAAAAGCCTCTTTTTTTTCTTTCTCGCGCTGTTTGCAAAGTCTTTTTTTCTTTTTTGAAGTCTTAGCAAGTTGTAAAGCTTCATCTTTTTTTGTTTGAAGATCACGGGCCTGCTGAATCTTGCGGGGAAAATAAAACACTGCATAGCTGTTCTCAGAGGCCCGTAATTCAGAAAAAAAAGATTTGTCTCGCTGGCGTTTCTTTTTCTCTTGAAAAAGAATCTCTTCAAAGTCTTGGTAACATAATTTTAGAATGATATTTTCCGTAAACAGATGATATATCGTAAAATTTAATTTTTTTGTTTTTTTGATTGTATAAATCGGTAATTGCATGTTTAAGAAGCCTTTCAATCTTTTTTCAATCCTCTGCACCTACCATTGAACGAAATGAGTCATTAGATGAAGGCCGGCTATCGTTCTTTTGATTAAATTGTGATAAAATGATCTCAAGATTCAATGATCAAATGCCTACATTTTTCCACGAAAAATCAATATTGTCAGATGATAAAGCCTTTTTTCATGACGGTCAAAAGAGGTGAAAAAAGTCTCTTTTTGTGATATGACAAAGACTTTGAGATTGATGAAGAAATTGTTTTAATTCCGTATTATACGCTGTAAATAAAGGTCCAAAAATTTCGACGTCAAGTGGTTGCAGTGAATGTATAAAATGAAGCAGATAAGTCATCAAAAGGATCTTATTCGTTTTGCAGTAGTCGAAAAACTTCATATTGACATGAAATCTGTGATTATTAAGAATAAGAAGTTTTCAATGTCTTCTTGCTTTATCTTTGATCTTTCGATCAAATACATCTTGCAGTCATGCGTATTCGAGTTCATCATTCGTCTATCCTAAAAATGAAGATGCAAAGAAACAAGGATGGAAAGAAGGATCGAAATCTTGAAGCCACATATCTTGAAGCTTTGAAGAGACGCTTTGATATATAAGATCTAAAGATAGCGAGATCCCATTCGCGCAAATACAAGTAATTGTAATAATCCACTCGCGATTATTATTCTAAAACTATTGTTGTAAGTCATTCTATTCAAATAATTGCTTAAAACAGATTTTTTTCGTTTTACTAAACACTCTGATCAAGAAGTCCTTTTCATTCATATTGTAGATATCTTCTTGCTGTATATCGTATTGTTGTATTTTGCGAATTAAAAGTTCAAAATACAATGCGTATTTTCATGTTGAATCGATCCTTTTTCGAAATAAATCGATTCTTGTTGTATAGTGAGAAATAAGATCGTTACTGTATCACTTCAAGAAACGGTTTGGCCACTGTTTTCCGGATCGATTTCCGCTAATTTCGTGAGCGAGATTGCGTAACATTTCGTACAATATATAAAAACCTTTCTCGCTTAATCGATTGATATTAGAAATGAGCACTTTCGATTGACGATCATTGAGAAATCGCTGTTCTTGATATTGCTCATTTTTTGAATGTTGGACATCGCGAAACCGTCTGATAAGAGTTATTCGATTAACACTGTACTTTTTTGCTATAAAAAAAACTAGATCGTTTTTCAAGCGTCAAAGATTCTAATTCTGCAATCGCTTCATCAATTGGAGCCATATTGGTTGAGATATGGCTCTTTGAAAATGTTAGAAATGTCGGTGAAATTGTTCGTCAGGTGGGGCTGGTCGTCAGGTGATCAAATACGGTAACCGCCCTATTAGTGAACGTGAAAACAGAACATCTCAGCACTCCACCCCAACTCAAGTGATTAACTATATGCTCTTTTGACGCCCATTTCATCGTTCCTTATCTGTGGTCGGCTTTCATCATCTACCTTCATATATATATATGTGCTTTGCAAGATATAGAGTACATTAATACTGGTTAAAATTTAAAAGGCGTCTTTTTCGTGTTAATGACTCCTAGGCATGGCTTGGTGCAACAACAGTCACAAGCTCGTGGTGGCAGGAACGATGAGGTTTTCGACAATTCGAGAGTCTAGCAAAGTTACGTGAATATTCGAAGACTCGCAAAATCTTTCACAACACCCTGGACGACTCACGTAGTGGGAATGTAGTGCTTAGGCATTTGCTCCGCTTTATCTACCGTCGTGTGGATGATTAGGATGAATAGTCTGCTTCTTTACAAAGCTCGTCCTTTGTTTTACATCGAGTGTTCAAAACAATTAACTCCGTCAAAATATATTAGCCAAGTTCACAACTATGGAACAATGGTACCGGAGACAAAGAAAATAACTGATAAACAAAGTACTAGGAAAGATTGGGACAGGAATGTTCTCTGATTCTAAGTACAGACTTAAGTGCTTGCTATGAATGTATGTGTCGAGATCAAGGAAAGACGGGCGAGCCCAATTAATTCACCAGGAGACCAATGGCTCTTGGCTATGAGTGGATGCTAAATTGGTTGTGAGAGGTTGAAAAGCTTTCGATAATAATATTTACTTACAAGTTTCAATTCTTCAATGGTCACGACAGACGCAGTAGCAGACAGGAACTCCACTGGTTCAGACCCGACCGACCAACGGTCCACGTTGTCGATCTCGATCGCACCGTCAGCCTTGACGTATTTCTGCATGAGCAGGGTGGTCACAGTGGTCAGGGCACTAAGAGAACGGGATTGGGATTGGCCTGGCCGATGCTCTATACAGTGCTCAAGAGCCGCTGTCCAAGTTGTTAGCTACATGCCATGAAATCGGTGCTATGGGATTGCTCCCTACCAATTTGAATGAGCCCGTCGAGTCCCAGAAGAATGTTGGAGCACTCAATGGCTTGATGCTCCCAGCCATTAGCCAGTAGATATGATAGCCCGTTGAGGACCTCCATCCAGTTAGCAATTTTGATGATTGGGAGCAAGGGCCAAGCAGCGTAACATTACCTGCGCTAGGATAGAGGCTAATTGAAGCTCATTTGGGAAGCGGTCGTAGGCAACAAGGTTATCCAGAGTGAGAGGGAGGTCGGCACCAATAGAATATAATGCCTCACCGTGTTTGTATATGTCTTTGGTGGATATGACGTTAGGATGTTGGACTGTTTTTAATATCTTCAATATTCTATCTCGGCTGCGCTCGGGGTATGCGCGCACAGCGAATACACGAGAAGGACGGGTGCGATGCACGGCAATAGATACAGACCCTGCTAGATCACAGATAAAGATCGGTGTTAATGCATCCCAGGGAGACTCGTTCCGCAGAATTAGTGATTGGGCAACCGAGTCACCTTCTTCAGCAATATTGGGGAGTAGGAGATCTTTTGGTGGACCTTTAAGGGATTTTTTCGGAAGGTCGTGCGCAGACCTCTCTTTTCTTTTGCCCCTCGATATTGCCGAAACGTGATTATCTGGCTTATGAGGCTCATCGGATGTAGAAATGGATGAGTCAGTCGTATGTTGTCCGTCAGCTAGAACGCTTTGGAAAAATATCTGAGTAAAGTGTTTGTCTTTGCGATTCATGTTTGCAACGAGAGGTATTATGGGAGTATTAATGGAAGTTCTTAATGGCACAAACAAAAAGGAGGCCTAGGTAATTGGTTTTAAAGGAGGGAATGGCCCAATGTTTTTAAAGTCAAGCTAAAACCGCCTCAGCGAAGTGGTAGCCTCAGCGGTATAGGCTCCTCAGCGAAGAGAGCATGTCCTATGCCAAAAATGAGATTTTTTGATTGCTTCCCAGCAGAGGATGGCGTATATATATTGAGTGAGAAGATTCCATCTTTCCTTAATTCCGCCTTACTTTCCTTTTTGTTTGAATACATTTTAGTGACTACAGATATGGAGTCTTTTCTATTTACTGATGCTGAACGGCACTTGACCACCGAACGACAACTGAAATATCAGGGAACAGCTAAGATAAACTTGGACCAAATTTTCTTCCATCCTTCTGTTAATATCAAAGTTGATCAAAAAAATGTGGACCGGATCTCTGAGATATTTCGTAAGGATGCATGTCGACGACTGGATATTCGAAATCATGTAACTGCCATTGTCTCTAGGCGGCATCTGAGAAGGGCACTTCGGGCCGCAGGAATCACAAGCGGGGATTTGATGACTAACAGCCCCACGCAATACCCGCATCTTCATTTCGCCGCTGGCCAGATTCGATGCCTCCACGGTCAACACAGACTCAAGGCAGGCGAAGAGACGCTGCCACCCACGGAACGGTGATGAACTGTAGATATTTATCTGGATGGTTTGTCCTGCGTGCGTTTAGATACGGCGGCTTCCTCTAACTTTCTCATAGATATCAGCCCGATCTTGCAAAATGCTTTCGTAGACGAGTACGCAAACGAGAAACAGCCGAGCGATGGTGAAATATACCGCAAGATCCGTCAGTACCAGCACGAGCATAATGTCTGCTTCCAGAAACGATGGTGGTCTCGTTTGTCGGATAATAAAGCCAAGCGCCTGCGACAGCTCATATCCTCCCCGGATAATGTTGACCTCTGTGCGGCGTTCGATGGATTACTCGCGATACCAGGATTATGGAACGGGATGAGTCTTGGCTCCTTGAATAAGGTGCTAGCATTGAAGTGTGATGAGGTTGGTTCCCCCCAACTACCTGCTACCTGTGGCTATTACCAACATCATGTAGGAGATCGTGCACTATCTCAAGCATATAAAGAGATTCTGGGCCACGCTTGTGGATCATGATTTCACAAAAATGGCCAAAATCGATCTTCATATGATGGACAGTCTGCAGCGACACGCCCCAAAGGCATCCGAAGCGGATAGGAAAGCCGTCAAAGGCCTGATCGTTAGCGGCGAGGTCTTCTCGGAGTTCAGTGAGCCCGAACGTCTCTCCATTTGGCATAGGTTGAGGTCTTGCGAGGATTGCGACACAGTTATTTCATCCCTTCATACTTTTTTCCGCGATATATCCTATCTCAATGCCTGTGCGGACGTTGTGAAGCGGCTGGTTGTTCTCATCAAGCAGTGTCTCACAATACAGAAAGCATTAGGACACAGCTTTCGATTCCGTAGCGCCAACGAGGATTGCCAAATACAAATATGGAAACGGTTTTTTGCAGATAGTCTGACAACTCGGCGGAACAGCGAGAGAGTGACTACCGCCAAATTTGAATGTATGTCATGCGATGGTATCCGGAGATAGTTAAAGAAGAACAAAGTCACGTTGTTAAGGCTAAATCTACACGTGTGACGACAGATGAGAATGTTATCTATGACTTGGTCGCATTCGCCCGACAACTTGGATTTCATTCGAAACAAATCGAAGACATTTTAAAGCAATCTTCGGACCGGCAAATCGCGTGGGTTATTCTGTTGAGAGCTCGAAGAATTGATTGCTATCATTATGACAGCAGCTCATTTGAGGCTCTTATCGACCGTGTTGTGGAAGTTTTCTTTCATGCGATCCTCAATGAGAATGAGCCAGCAATAGAGCTTATTGCTAGCAGAGCAGTGAGTTTGAAAAATCGTTGCGAGCCTTTTTTGATACAAGCTCAGCGACTGGATCGGCCGCGTCTTTTTTTTGATCAGTTACACACGGTATTGTCGTTGCAGCGACATGTGTCTTCATTTTATATAAGACAATCTGTTTATTTTGCCTTCTTCGATAGACTCCCTATGTCCAACACAGGCTTGAGAACATTGGAGCGACATTCGCAAGAGCTCTTTCCGGAATGATTTTCACCATTATTTTTTTCAGATGAGGGCCATTCGATGCATGACGGGATTCAGGTAACAGTGGAATTGCAAACACGTAATGGTCGTGAGAAACAATTCACAAGCCGTGCTCAGATGCGAGAGATCCGTTGGGCGCAATGTCGCTATAGACGGGAGCAAAGACGGGAAGAAAGACGGAGGAGACGGCAAGAGCTGCGAGAAAAACATGAGACAGAAGAAGCGCCAGCCATTCTTTGAGGGCTCTCCTTCCGAAATTCTCCCGCCAGTGAGAGCAGCGCCATGAATGATGCAACTATGGCAATAATAGTTGTCCCAGAAAGATCAAGAGCTTCTATATCAGACGGTTTTCAGTTTAATTCCGAGGATGAACGTTCCGTGCAGGTTCAGCATGATACAGAGGGAGCATTTTCAGAAATCTCCGAGGTAGAGCCGCTACAAATAGAAGAGAAACCGACGGAGACAATGCAGATCAACACTGATCAAGAACAAGGCCCGTGGAAAAATGGATCAGTATTAACAAGAAGCATTGAAGATGGAAATGTAAAAAGAAAGCAAGAACAGTTTCAGCGCGAAGCTGACCAAGCTGCTGTCGAACAAACTAGACAAGAGAATCTTCAGCGTGAGACCGAACCAGTTGAGAGTGAACGACAGCAGCATGAGACCAGAGAAACAGCCGTCGAACAGAAACGCCTGACAGAAGAGCGCGAAAGTAGATCTGGGCGAGAAGTGCTACAAGAAACCGAAGGGGACATCGCAACGCAGTCAAATTCACTAGATGACAATGGAAGTCAAATACAACCTAATGATGCAACTGATGCTCAGGGAATCACCGCTGTTAATATAGGAAAGCCCCTTGATGGACTGCTGCAGGGCGAAGTGAGACAGAATCTGGTAGGCAGCGAAGATATACATGAGCGCGATCAGTTGACCGAAGGTCCAGGTGAAGCTGCCCGGGACGCTCACGTCGAAGAGGCCCGAGTGGCTCAGCAGCGAGAAATCGCGCATGCTCAGCTACAACAGCAGGATAATCCATTGTCATCAGATGATCGTGGCGCATCCGCTCATAATCCACAGCGTGTCACTCAGCTAGATCTGCCTATTATGATTGCTAGATGGCGTCAAAGCGCGAGCAGGTCGGATAACGATGATACAGAGCGACAATAGTTGCGATCGTCCAAATCTGCCGGATTGAGAAAATCTTGACTGAAGATAAAGCCCAATTATCGAGACATCAATCGCTTAGGCATTCTTGACGCCGCCATAAGCGATGAACTAGGGTGGAATCTTGAAGCTAGTAATCCAGCCCCTATATTACCGGCGCAGGCGCTACATATAACCGGGGAAGCGGTGCCAGATGTGCAGCCGGATGACCATCCGTTCACCGCGGCTATGTCTGTTGGGCCAGCTGATCACAGGGAGCATGCCGCTCTGGCATCGGAAAAGTTATTCAGAATCCCCAGCCAGAGTAATCAAGGAATCTCATCAATGGCTACGAAGTCGGCTGAGAAAGCTTTGGGTCTTGTTCAACAAGAGCAAAGAGGATCCACAGCGGATCCAGAGCGAGTTCGGAAAGAATGAGATCAATGAGCGGCGGCAGAGAGAGCGCTCTTTGAAGAGGATGCCGACAATCAACTACATCTGTTTGAAGTGTTAACAAGGTTAGACGGTCCAGAACTCATCCACTTGTTTTAAATCGAGACCATTGAAATCAGCAGTAGTGCAAACGATCAGTTCAATCATTTCACAGAAATCAATCCAAAATTTGAGATTCACGAAGTCACGCCGCCTGCGTAAAGCTGATAAATTTCCAAGACTGCCGCGCGCCATGAACGCCCGTCCCGATCATTGGGCATCAAAGCAACACGGGATAAAGTTAAGCAGCGACAGTTCAAGGCTATTTTTCCATCCGGTATTGGACAAATGCAGATGGATAAAATTGTCAGCGATAGAAAGATCACACGGACACGGCGAGCCTCAAAGATCATCATTCAAATTGATTTCCGTGCGTGGGCGGAACGAAATCACACAGTAGAAGTTTCACAAATGAAGCTATGTGGTGTCAAGCGGCTCCGAGCTTTAGAAAATGAAGTTGAGAAAATTTGCATCAAATCACAGATCTCTAACGCAGGTTTGGTATCATCGAACCAAACGAAAAGGTTACATTCAATTGGACCGCAAGATGGGAACGAGCAGATGCTGTCGGGTATAAATGAAGTGGTTCAGCAAGTCTTATCTTCTGTATCAATTATTGGGCAAATGGTCGGCTTAGGAACGAATTTAAATGCTATTCCAGCTGGCAGGAATGTCGTCATCATTTTCCGAGCTTACCAGCGCAAGAAATGGAGAAAGTTAGACACGATATCGGTTAATATCTCAAATCCACATGAAGCTCAAAAAATCGCCGATCGGTATGCGCGAGTGGAGGGTAAGAATGCACGTTTTTATGATTGTATCCTCCGAAAGGTCAGCGTTAACCAGTGTGTTCGTGCGGCAATCGATGATAGAACATATACTGTCCTTATGAGTTTTGGGAAGGAACTCCATGTGACCCGACAGCGGATAGCTTCAGTCGCAAGGTTATTCGATGAGGGATTGCAAGACTCGGGGGTATGATAGGCTGCTTGCTATAGAGTAAAATCTATCATGGCTGAGAACGCGATCGGTAATCCCGTAATGTCTTCCACGCGTAGTTCAACGACTAAAGATGTCTTATACTAGCAGTGAACGCAGGTCGGCGGCTGTGAGACCAAGCAGGTACTGAGATCACGGTCTCAATATCTGGACGGTTTGAAGCTCGACGGCTGGGGTCCTGGATCTTAGGCCATTAGGCTTCTGTCTATGAATCTCGCACCCGGGTCACAGATATAGATGCCTCAGACATTGGCCCCGCATCATGGCGCCTCTGACCTAGTCGGTGCTGAGACAGAGGACTGATGGCCGCCTGCGTCCCCCGACCGTGAATCTGTGCCCTTTGTGGATCGGAAGCTCTCGTGGCCATGAATCATACTGCATACGACCGGTCATGCCTCCGAACTAGGTTGCAAAATCCCGGGTAGAGGAAGTACTGTCCGCTCTACCCTGAACGCGTAATGCAAGCAAGTACCCATGATCTAAGCGGCCGGTTTTCCTTCCCACTTATAGTATACTTCTAACGCAGTTCCATAACGTGCAAGCAGTGCATTCGATTTCACCACAAAATAAAGACATCGCTAAACAGATCTGGTTTAGACCAAACAAAATTCGACACCACCTAATTCAAGGATAACAGCTAATGCGCACCGCAATGAAATACGGGAAACTAGGCAAAAACCCCAATATTGAATAGACAAAACACACATACAAATTAATACAAGGTTATGTTAACAAAATAAGTCTATCATGCTAAGTCAGGGCCCAGAAGCTATTTTGTCCAACTAAACTTAATGTCACCGTACAACCTAACCCTCTTGAAACATATTAGCAACAAACGAACGAATATGTTCTCTCAGCCCTGCCCAGTGGGACACTGGCTGGCTCCCTATCTGATTAACACCAATCCCAAAAGTACCTGCTTGCCGCTGAAGTCGACGATATTCTGCAATGCTGGCCAAAAACGCTGTCATGGTAGACCTGACTTCTTCCGCGGCCGAATGTAAATTTGTCTCACATTCTTGGCGACGCCGGTTTCTCCATTCTTCACAGGGTCGATAAACCGTCTCAAGGATGTGGCGGAGGATTCGGTTATAATCTGAGCGAGTTATCGGGTGTTGTTCGTATTCTATGACCATTGGGTGGAACCCTTGTACAACAAGAATACAGTGTCCATCCACAGACATGGATGCTACTTCCCGATGGCGTGCACCGTTAACTGAAGAGCATAGTTCTGAAGCAAGGGGATGGTTGACAATACCCCACCGAGGGTGCGATCCCTTGGTTGCACACTGACAAGAAATGATGACTGGCGGTTTGAAGCGGCGAAGGAAGTCGATCGTAAGATTGAACAATTCGTCCGTTACGTGTTGTTTTTCTTGGGCTTCCATGGCATCCATCCTCTTGTTCGTAAGTAAAGGAAAGAGATCGATGATGATAATATCGCGTAATGTTAAGCCCAGAGGTTCTAGAATCTGCTGCAGCCAGCGCAACGTAGGTGATTTTCGTATCATATCATCTCATGGAAGATGATCCCAATCGCTTGGATTGAGCAACAGGATAGCCGGGAAATTCAGGATCCCACAAAGTAAACCTATGAAGTTGGATAGGCCTTCACCTCCCCAGCCTTTTCTTCTCCACAGTTCTCGTGCTGGTTGAAAATACGGGTCATCAGCCTCCAGGCGGGTTATTCTTTGGCGACTATCCAGGTAGGGACGCAGGACATCCTGTACGAGGTCTTCAAGCTGTCTGGGAACTTCGAATTGGGTATGAGGCGATGCTTCGCTTAGAGAAAGCCATGACACGGCTTCTTCTAACGTGCTATCTGCAAGTTGTTGGGTCTGCGTCATTGGGAAGTCAGAAGGAAATGTTTGTTTTCCTGGCAAGCGTTAACTACGCAGAAGGACGACATGATTATTTATAATCTATCACCCTCAGCACCAAATAGACCAATAAGACCAATGCAGTACAACCTGTAGAACAAAACGCATTCAGGCTTTCCTTGTTAATCACTCCTGCTGGAAAGGACATTATTCAGTGGAGATAGCTCCCGCATGCAGAAGTCCGACCGGTAAGTGAGCGGTCGCGGTCTGTGCTAGTTCCGGCCTCACGGCATCGGGTCATCGCGTCGTTTGCGGTCTTAAAATGCTTACACCCCCAGGTAGGAGTTGCTGGAAGGCAAACGAAGCAGTCAAAACGTTTATTATTATAAATGTTTATTACTGAACAGGCTGTTGTTTCCAAAGCCGCGCATTAAATGTGGATGAATCTCTCCCCCGCCTTACCTCATGCCCCACAACCCAATTCTGCGAATTCCCAAACCAAGAAGCCAAAATGGAGAGCTCATGGCTAGGAGAATAAGCATAAAAAGTGCATCCATGCTAATATTGACACCTGACAGTTCGCCAATAATCATACTGCGTTGAGCTTTTTGATCTCGATCTTCATCTTCCATCATACGCAGAATCCGATTGATTTGGTTCAGCCTCGCCTGTCGCCTTCGACGATATTCTTGCTCCAATTTTTGAAGCTTTCGGGCTTTGCTCTCGATTATTCGTGCTTTCTCTTTCTGCATTCTATCGAGCTTACGTCTTAAAGACGCCTCGAAAGCTTTCCAATGTTCTGCTCGGCTTTCTTCTGTTGCATTTCGCTTCCGTTTCTTTTTTTTCGACCTAGTTGACCGCCCTGCTGCAATCCCTAGGATTTGCTGGCGCTGGTAAAGTAGCGGTTCACTGTCCAAGGCAATAATTTCAGTCCGATGTTCCGCTGTTCCGCTGGATTCAATATCGTCGGGATACCAATTAACCTGATATTGGTTGGAAAAGGAAATCAGATTGTAGTCTTCGCGTTTGCTAAACATGGATTCTGAGCTTATGTACCTGGTGGATGTTATATTTTAATGCGGCTTGACTTATAACAGACTGGAGTTGACGGTCAAGCTCCTGTTTTGTTTCTTGCAGGATCAACATTCTCTCTTCACTTAACGCAATATGATGAGCCATCACATTACGTATTTGCTTCGATCTCAAAAGTAAGCCTCCAAAATATTTCGAGTCTTTTTTGTCTAATACACCTCGAAGCCTGCTGTCTGGCTGGTAGCAAGCACATCGAAGAGTATCGACAATTGCCGGGAGATCCGCCGCCTGGTGACAATAAAATCCTCTTTCTTCGAGGCCATGCGGGTCCACTATTTCTAGGAGAAGATAACCCAGAAATTCCAACTCCTTGGTCCAATTAAGAACCTTTTTATGAGACTCAAGATACAGATCAATTTGTTGTTGCATGTTGTAAAACCAGTGAGCTTCAGGACGTTAACTTGTCTGGATATTTCAATGGTCTGAATCTATAGAGCTAACATAGTGAATTAAATGCGGTTG